CAGATTCTCCAGCATCGGCAGTTCCTACTATCTCTGTAACAATTTTAACCCCACTGCAAAGCCTCTTCTAAGGATGCCCACCTTAAAGAAGTTAAACTCCTCCCTCCGGAAAAACCTCAGTGTATTCCTCTCCCACTGCAACCCTCTTGAAATCTCTTCGGCCCATTTTCTGTAGAAGGGTCTCGATCCGAAATGTCAGCTTTCCTGCTCCTCTGATGCTGCTTGGCCTGCTGTGTTCATCCAGCTCTACACCGTGTTGTCTCAAATACAAAGCATGCTTGATATCTGTGTTTATCAAAATTAAAACCATCTTGTGCTTGATGACCTTTGGTCCTAATTTGAAGATATTAGAGGCAGACTTTCTCCCAGTCTCATTTCAGAAGCTGCATAGCATAAATGCTTTTTTGAAAAAAAAGGAACTGCTGGAAATCAGAAACAAAATCAGAAATTGCTGGAAAAAAACTCAGCAGGTCTGGCAGCATCTGTGGAGAGAAAGCAACATCAACATTTTGGTCCAGTGACCCTTCTTCAGAACTGATTGTGGTTAGGAAAAAGTTAGTATATATGCTGAAGATGGTGTGAGGGAAGGGGGGAGGAGTAAATGATGAGTGGAGATGGAGTGCAGACAGAAAGGAAAATCAATTGGGCAGACAAAGGAATGGATAAAAGTCTCAAAAACAGAAATTGCTGGAAAAGCTCAGCAGGTTTGGCAGCATCCGTGAAGAAAAAAATCAGAGTTAATATTTTGGTTTCGGTGACCCTTCCCCAGAACAGTTTTGAGGAAGGGCCACTGGATCCGAATGGTAACTCTGATTTTTCTTCACAGATGCTGCCAGGCCTGCTGAGCTTTTCCAGCAACTTCTGTTTTTGTTCCTGATTTACAGCATCCGCAGTTCTTCCAGTTTTTAATGAATAAAGGTCAGCCTGGGAGAATGAATAACTGCTAATGGGGACCGTTAGTGGCTGATAATGGGTTGTCAATGGTCGCAACCCATGTAATAACAAGGAATGTGGGGTTGCTGTAAGGACATGGAAGAAGCTCTAACATTATTCAACTCGATATTGAGTCCAGAAGGTTCCAAGTTTCCCAAGCAGAAAATGAGGTTTTGTTCTTCCAGCTTGTGCTAAGCTTCTCTAGACCAGTGCAGCAAGCCTGAGACAGCGATGTTGGCCAGGGAACACAGTGGTGTGTTGAAATGGCAGGCAACTGGAAGCTCAGTGTCTTTTTTGTGTACAGACATTAGTGTTCTGCAAAGCAGTCCAAAACAGCCTTCGTATTGTTTGCATTTTTAAACGTTATTCCTGATTCAAAACTAAGCTGGCCAGGAAATTTATATATTTAATTTTTTGAGAAGTTGCTGGTGTCTCTCTGGGGCCAATGAACTTTGATTTGACATTTTTACACAGCATCAAGTGTATTACTTGATGACCTTTAAATGAGAAATAGTAATCTATCCTTCAAATCCCATTACAAATACTACATTTTTAGATCCTTTAAAATGATGGCTCTATTACATTGCAAAAACTAATTGCCTGCAATATTAAAATCACAACTAACCCAACCTGAGTTAACATTACATTTGAAGCGTACTTGACTGCTGTCGTTTGTCTTGGACCAACTAATGATAGTTTTTTATTTAGCTCTTCATTCTCTGACAATAATTTCCTGCTTGAAATCAGACCAAGAAGCTGTACTGTTGTCCATAGTACAGCTTACCAATTACACTGCAGAAACAACTTTGACAAAACTGAATTCCACAACAAAATAGGTAGCTAATACTGAGAAAATTATATACATTCAGGATTCAGATAAAACTCTGTTATTTGTGTGAGGTGCTATCTAAATCCAAAGATTGATGAATACACCTTCCACATAGTCTAATAACTTTTAGTTACCGCTAATCAAAAGTACTATTCATGTGGAGAAGACCATTTTTCTTTATTTTGAATCAACAACCAAAATGACTGAACATCAAGGCTATTGATAATTTAGCAGCCATATAAAATAAAAATTGAATGCCTTATGTTCACCACCCTTCAGTGATGTTCCCTATCAGTAACACAAAATCTCACGAATGGTTTAGATGATTATGAAAAATTATATAATGAGTGTATAAACTGTGAAGGACTGCTTTTTCTCTCTGTTTTCACTTGTAATCGGTGGATATTTTGGATCTAATTTAATGTGCACTGACAGTCCATAGTTAAAGTGAGTACGATCATGCTCCACAGTCCAATAAACACACTATTTCACTAAAAGGTGAAGTTGTCATATTCATGCCAGGCCATAGAGATGCTATCTCATCAGAGAGAGATGACAGGTGATGGTTCAACCTGAGGGTCACCATGCCTCAGCCAGGGGGAGAGGTTGAGAAGGAGAGCCCTTCATGGGTAACCACAGCTGGTGTGGGCATTGAACCCAAACTTTTGGCCTCAGTCCGTATCACAAATTAGCTGTCTACCTAACTGAACAAACTGATCCCCCTCCCCCCTGTAAACTCTCCCATCCCAGGAGGAGCAAAATTGTCAACAATTTACAGTGTTATGATATAAAATACAAGCGATTAATATTTAAAACTCATCAACTAACTTAAAAGCTTTGAACTTTGGTTTGAGGGGGAAAAAGTGAAAAATGAGTTGGGACACTCCAAAATGCTTGCCAAAGCCATCTGACTTGAAAATAGTTAAGCACAACATGACTTTAAAAACACGGCTGAAACTACATCATGCATACTGAAATATCTATCCAAGGGGTAATTACCTGAACATTAAAATTAATTATCTGGTCTGCATAGCTCACAATGAGGTCTTCAAATGTCTCTGGGTGTGAGACTTCTCCAATACAGGTATTGGTGGAGCAAAGACTTAAATCCAAAATTTGTTATGCAAAAAGAGGATTCAATGCCCCCTCCCCCACCTTTTTCAAAGTGACAGGGGAAATCTGACAATGGATCATCAAAACTCTTTGGTCCCAGTTTTCATTCTTGGATAGGCAGGGGAAATCTCAGTTCTGCACACTCTGTCTTTAAAAATGGCTGCCCTCAATTACCACACCATGAGTGTGTGTGTGTGTGTGTGTGTGTGTATGCGTGTGTGTGTGTATGTGGGTATGTGTGTGTGGTGCTGTTTTGGAAGCCAGGCTGAATGACTAAGGAAGAGTCTGAGAGCCTGCCAGTTTCCAAGGTAGGCTGGGTCGAAAGCCTGCCTTGTGACTCCTGTCCCATAGTCAAATTTAAAAATCAAGATGAAAAGCTGCTCATTCCTCCTTAACCTCACTGTTCTACATCCAAACCATTCTATGCTCCTCTACCCATCCCCATGGGCCCTTATACCCTCATGCTACTCTGTGCCAATTTACCATCCTCCTTGACTCCTAATGCCCCCTGTGCCTATTGCCTATAGTCCTCTAACAATCTCCGTGGCTCCTTATACATTTATG